GACAATAAAAAAAGGCCTGAAAGGCCGTCCTGTCCAGATTTGACAGGTAATTGAATTGGTTGGGCTTAAAGAATTAGCCTTAAAAAAAAAAAAAAAAAAACAGCAGAAACCCTTTTGCATTTTAGTTTTTTAGATTCCCTTTTTTCCTTCTTGCCGTTTTTTTTTTTGGATCAGGGTACTCCGCCCTTTTGCCCTTTTGCCCTTTTGCCCTCTTCAGCAGGGCAGCTGACCCTGACCAAGGAATGGATGGTTACCAGCCCTTAGTGCCCTATTCAGCTGTGCTTCTATTCAGCTGGCAGCTGTGACCCCCCGACTCCGGCCATTTGCCCAATTCAGCAGTGCAGGGAGGGGCCTGATGAGATGTGCGGAGAGCGCAATTGTGGTATGTCTCGTGAGAGGATACCCACCTTTCGCGGAGTAGAACGAATATGACTAGGCTCGAGGTCTGCATCTGGTCTGGAAATTGCCCCAAGTACGGCTATAAGGACCATATGTTCTATTGGGGAAAGACTGTAGTTCCGCGTTGATGATCCTCGCGTGATTGAAAGCCGAGCTCCGTCAACAAGTGGTCTTTTTTAATTTATTGTAATTTATTTTTTATTTTATTTTTTACAAGTGGTCTGTTGGGCACATGTGGAGCTCGGTTGTAGTTCGGGAGCACGCGAGGTGGCGGTGGATCTGTGGTGTGGTGGAAAACTATGGGCCTCACCACCCACCACATGAAACGAAAAAAAAAGAAAGAATGCATGCATCTTCTCAGAAAAACCGGAAAGATTCATCTGTTTGCTATGAATAGGAACAAATGTATCTTACCTTTCTTTGTGGGAAGATGCACTCATTTTTCCCCCCCCCTGGTTTCGTGCACCGTGTGGCGAGGCCCGGTGTCCAACTCCGGGTTTGATTGGACACACAGAGCGAGTCCATAAGCAAGTGGCACAGCCGCCAGTCGAAGGGCAGTAGTGACAAATGTATCTTGTTACCTTCTGTGGGAAGATGCACTCATTTTTTTTCCCGTTTCGTGTGCGGTGTGGCAAGGACTTGGGGTTTGATTGGACAGAGACCAAGTCCAGAAGCAACAAGTGGCTCATCTGCGAGTCGCGAGTCTAATGGCCTTGCCACACCAGTTTGGAAACCAAAAAAAAATGCACGAATGTATCCTTCCACCAAAATTGCGAAGATACATTCGTTATCATGAAGAGGACCCGGTGTATCAGGGCACATTCTGTGGAAACATGCATTTGTATTCTCTTTTCGTTTCGTGAGTGGTGTGGCGAGAGGGCCTAAGACCACAACAGGAAAGACTAGAATACACAGCTGGTGCCTTGCGAAAAGTACCGCCCAGCTCATGTGGCTGAATGGTACAGAGTCTACAGACATGCACTGGAGTTCAAAGTAGCCAGATCACGAGTTCGAGCCTTGATGATTCATATCAATGTAACTGTATTAGGGGCGCTTTCAAATTAAAAAGTAATAAATAAAAACAGAAAAGGAAGAAGAAACGACAAAAAAGTACCTGCCGCATTGCTGACTAAAAATAGAAGCAAATGTCTTTTTTTTTCTTCTCTAAATTAGTAGGAAATGTCTTTTTTGTTT